ATAATAATATTAAACATCCTGTCTTCTAACAGTCATCAACTTTCTATCTAGTTATCCTTGACCATAAGCAACCTGCAGCAACTCATGAGAATGACTAAGCATTTAACAGCCTGAGCTAGACATCCTGTCTACTCTAAACATTTCTAATACATCAAGTATCTAACCAATATCTATCTGACTAAAAATACCTAACACACCCCTGTCCAGGGCGGAGCAGCCCAAGAAGATAAATGTATTGTAAGAACTTTAATTCGGGGTCAGTGGATGGAACTCCTGCGGGAGCTCTATCTCTCTGATCCCAGCGCTGTAAGGCCTACCTGTGATCAGACATTCAGTAAACTTTCTGTTGATTTTAAACAGTTCTCTTTTGTCTTCACTTCTCGTGCTTCCAACAAAAGAATCGGGTTAATTTCTAACATTGTGATTTATCCCAATCACTGACAACTCACTCTCTCCTCCAACTGTGTTGCTGGAATGTCTTGTTGAAGCTAAAAATAATAATGCAGTGCCTATATCCATGTTTCATTCATAAATTATTATCTTGCTGACCTAAAAATTATGTTTACTCATTTCTCATGTTTTTGTGTGGTCATTTCAGATTCGGGCTGCTAACCTTAGTGGAGATTGCTCTTTTAGTACTGAAGCTGCCAGATTCAACTTTGGTTTAAAGCAGCATCATCAGGTACTTGCACTGGGATAAATGGAACTCTTACTGGCACGTTTCAGATTTGTGTTTCTAAGTCAATGCTTTACTTGCCTTACTTCCTTGGACAGGACTGCGTCCGAGGCCGTGCCATACGCTCCATCTTGGCTGTGAGGAAAATTGGCCAAGAGGAAGCGGAGAAAATAGTCAATGAGGTCTTCAACACATGTTTCAATGACCATGCGCCCTTTGGACGAATCCCACACAGCAAGAAGGATGCGAACTTTGCCTACAGAGATTATGAGAACAGAGATCGATATTACTCAAACCTTTAATGTCATCACATTCTCATTTACCTCCAAGGCTTGCTGTGAATGGTGGTGATGCTGATGAGAGCTTGGCAATGTAAGGGCCTTGAGCAGCATAAAAATGTCAACAGAATGACTACTTTGTTGAAAGTGATGATCAAATCCCGTCATAAGGGATTTGTACAGAATCATTTGTACTTGGACCAGAAATGCAAAGAAAGGAGATAAAGCACATTTCATTTTCTGAACTCTAATTCTGTAAAATCCTATGACATTTGAGATTTTTATCATTTGTTTTTGGGTGGTCAGTGGGTGCTTTTAAGGAAGTACAAGAATTAATTGTGTCCATTGATGTTTTCTGTGAAAGTCCTATGATGACAAGTTAGGATGTATTTCTATGACCTCCACTAATTTCCTGTAAATTGAGCTGATTGTGCTTAAATGAAATAACTGGTATTTTTAAGGTTAATTCCTCTGACAAAGTATGCTCAGCTGGTGTTTTGGTTCTTAAAACTAGTATCTCAAAGTTATTAGGAGCTTGTTGCATTTGACTTTGGTACAAAATATTTGAATTTCTGATTTGCTTAAGGATATATAAGAACATTGCTGGTTATAACACATTCATGTCTAATCCCAACAGAGGACCCATCCATCCATCCATCCATCCATCCATTATCTATACCGCTTAGTCCTAAATGGGGTCGCGTGGGGGGTAAAGGCTAAAAACCATTATAA